GTTGTGCCCCACAGTGACCCTGTGCACAACAGAAGGAAATGCTGCCCGGTCCTGCGCCGTGTTCCTAAGCTTGAGCCCACTGCTGCAGTCACAGGGTCCATCCATCTCCTTCCTCAGGGCCTGCCTCTTTTTAGGTTATATTATTTATTTGTACTCAAAAGGGGACATCTTGGTAGATTTTCCCAAGGACCCTGGAGGCTTCTTAAAAGACCAGTAAAGTGACACCATGGCAGGATCCCCGCTCCCTGCATCCTGACAATGCCCCTGGTCATTCTTCATGGAAGCAGGAGCTAAGCTACAAGAATGCTGTTAGGAAACCTTACTCCACCCACCGTCCGGCCCTGACTTGACCTTCAGACTTCTTTTTGTCCCCTAATCTCAAAGAACATTTAAAAGGAACATGACTTAAAGCCCTCAAAGATGCCAAAACTATTGTTTGACGGGCTGTAAAATAGAAGAGCACGGAATTGTTTGGGAAAGGGTTAAAGAGTGAAATCACTGCCATCAGAATTATATATATATATATACCTAAAAAGAAGCTAAGAGCTTCACACTTCAATATTGTTTAACAAGTTCTACGACTCTGTAGTGATTTTTGACTTAACCTCCTATAGATTTTTTTTAACTTAACATCATATAAACTTGACAAAGCAAACTTCTCTGTATGTATTTACATGTGCGGTAAACACATCCACAAATATAGAGGTGAATACAAGGGCAAAGTTAGGAAGTTAGCCGAAACCAAACATCTTGAAGCAATGAGTCACTGGGCCTGGGTGCTCAAGACCATAATGTCAGGAGACATCAGGTCAATTGGCGCTCTGGCAGCAGAGTGGGCTACGAACTGAGCTGCTAAACTACAAGGTTGAGTGTTCGAACCCACTAGCTGCTCCATAGGAACAATCTGAGGCCATCTGCTCCGGTAAAGGTGTAAAGTCTCAGAAACCCAGAGGTAGTTCTCCCTGGATCTTTAGGGTCCTTACGAGGCAGAAACAACTCCATAGTACGAGTTTGTTTCTGAGATTTTAATCCACATAGAAAAATGTCCAGTAGCAAGAAGTGTGCAACCACAGTTGTGTCTGGGACAAAGAAAAGAAAATCAGAGCCTAAAGGACACAATCAGCCCCAAGGGCAATGAGACCACTCCCACAGCCTCTACGCACCTGAGCCGAGCTCCAGACTGTGCCGGCTGCTGGGAAAGGCATCACACGAGAAGGTGCTACATAGAAGGTGCACACGTGGAACCAAGCCCAAAACGAAGATCAGGATGGTGGGTTGAATAGAAATTAATGGAACTCCTGAGACTACAGCCCTTAGGAATCACCCTGCAAGTCTGGAAATGAACTCACGACTCCCGAGCTCCACATTCAGCCGAACAATTGAAATGCCTCTAAGGGGAACTATGGAACACCAGGGTGGTTCCATAGTTACTAAATCCTTAGAAAACCCAACCATAGGACACCAAACCCAGAGAGCAGTTCAGAGGGCAGGACGGCATAGCAAAGACCAAGGGAACTGCTCGACACAGGGAGGAAACGGGATGAGTGCCATTTCATTGTGGGAATTCCAACTAGTCATGAAAACTGTGTATGGATTGGTGAATGGAAAATAAGAGTTGCTCTGCCAACGTCCCCTTCAAATCACAAATTAAAGGAAAAATAAATCTGATAGTTCCTTTCTGTCAAATTCCATACTAAGGGAAACTGTCCAAGCTCCTCGATTGAATTTTAAGATGTAAGTTTTAAGACTTGGGTGTCTTTGGTTATTTCGGAGCGAACTACTCCCTACAGTTTTCTTTTGATGGGCTAGTTAGCTACACTGCTCCCAGAAAGACTAATCTCCACCGCAACGAGCAAACGGATCTCAACAAGGTGAGACGACCACCACACGCACCCTTCTTCTCCACCGCAACGAACAAACGGGTCTCAGCAAGGTGAGATAACCACCACACGCACCCTTCTGCTCCACCGCAACGAACAAACGGGTCTCAGCAAGGTGAGATAACCACCACACGCACCCTTCTGCTCCACACTTCGTGCCAGATTTCCTTTCTCCAGTTAATATCATTTCTATGTAAAGTGTTACAAGCTGGGAGTTGAATCTCAGCCTTGCCACCTACTATTTATCTGGGCCAGAAGCTCACTTCGCTAAGGCTGTTTGGCTCCTAATAAGAGATCCACTGCCTGCGTTTTGATGCAGTCAACTGCGATGAACAGATGGGTATGATGTCTGTGATGATTGCAGTTGTCTTCACATTGTCTACCTCAGGGTGATGGCTCTTTGCTGCTCTCTAGAAGCTCCATGGGACAGCCTTGCCTTTAGCAGCTACAGCTTAGCTGGGGACAGGAGTCCTAGAGCCACAGCTTCCTCTGCAGTGTTTACACTTACTTACCACATCTGGTTCTACTTGTATGACAGCTGCTTCTCAGATCAGAGTGGGAGCAGGCAGGGTAAAGGGCAGGGTACTCAACTAGTGTTTAATCAGACAACAGAGGTCGTTCAGCAGAAAAACGTGGAATCAAAGTGACCAGACTTCCATGACTTCTTGTTCACCTCCATGCTCCTCTCATCCACAAGCTTCCCAAATCTGATTCCCCCCCCCCTCCCCAAATCTCCTCCACTGTCCTCTCTTGGGGAGGAGTGAGCTCAACCCAGGCTGACATTCCAGGCACCTTGCAGCCACACATGCAGCCAAGAGGGGACTGAGCTCTCCACAAAGACTCAGGTCAGAGTGCGCCCTCCGATGTCCCCATTAGGTCAGTTGAGGCAAGTCAGGGCACTCAATGCAGGCGACAAATATGAAGCGACTACCTTACACCCTCCCAGAGAGCAGAGCTGATGCTTCATGGGTGCATCTCTCGTTTCCCAAAGAATACACGAAGGGAGACTGGAACCATGGACAGAGCGGTGAAAATGAGAAGCAGCCACAGACACTCTGGAGAGAATTGGTCCCACGGAGAAATGAGCAGACAAGTCAATGGTATTGACTTGATGTTCCCCCCTGAGGGTCTGACTTCAGCAAATCAAGTGACAAAGTCATCATCGCATCCTAGTTTTATTACAACCGACCTGCAGGCAAAAGGATAGAACTATGACATAGACACTTGGATTCCATGTATGTATCTTAAATAGAGGAGGAGATTCAAACAAGAATACAGGATAAAATATTCCAAAGCTCCAAGAAGCAGTTATGTTACTGAGCTCCATTTTACAGACAAATAAGGCAATATCCCTGCACATTAGCTTTTTGATAATTTTTATACATTTTTTCCTATGGTACAAGAGAAAAATAACCAGAGCTCACAATGTACAGTTCTTACACTATTTTCACAGTTTGTGAACACTATACACCCTTTTGTTTTAATAAAGATACATTGTAATAAACTCATTGCCCTTAAGTTTATAGTTTATAATAATCTATGATTAATACACTAAAATTGCCTTTTTTTTAATGTGGTCATCCACACAATAGAATGGTCAGATTTTAGCTCCTGTACAGTCAGAATTGCTTTTTATCTCCAGTTGCATAATGGCAACGTGACCCCTGCGCTGAGCCAGGTGGGAGAGGTTGACAGCAGGGAAACGAAATTCCTCTTTGAGTCCCGGAGTAACGGAGGAGATGGCTTGGTGTGGCCTAAGAAGGGACATACAGCATCGAGCCTCCTCTCGGAACGCTGGGACGTCTAAGGTACTGAATGCCAAGGGGAGGGGGGCAAGAGGGAGGGAGAGGAAAATCCGGCAAGTGGACCAAAGAGATTAATCACTTTGAATTGGGAAATGTATGTGGATGAAACCTGAAACAGCACCAATGGCTCTTTTTTGTTTCATAGTATTTGTGACGGTCACTCAGGGAGGACTATCCAGGCCAGTCTGGCTCTGTGAACAGCATCACGTGCATCTGCAACAGGGCTGTTTAGGGCCCAGTGTGCTTGAGCCGCTCACAGCGCTGCTGAAGCCTGATGCTGTGTCTGGGTGCCGGAGTGGGTGCGTCTCGAAGCGGAACGTGGCTAATGGGTAAGTGAAGCAGCACAGCAAAAGAGGACAATCCTTTGGGGGACCTTTTCTTGTACCGAGTAAGAATCCCAGTTCCGTGAAACGGTGGTGACGTTGCCGAAGGCTGGAGCAGGGAATGAGTGGGAGGAAAGACGAGGATGCAGGCTCATCACCCAGCACACAGGATAGGCCCCGCTCTTCTCAACCTTTGAAACAGTACAGCAGGGGTTCTCAACCTGTAGGTCGTGACCCCTTTGGGGGTCAAACGACCCTTTCACAGGGGTGGCCCAATTCATAGCAGTAGCAAAATGACAGTTATGAAGTAGCAACAAAAATGATTTTATGGTTGGGGGAGTGGGGGGGTCACCACAACATGAGGAACTGTATGAAAGGGTCACGGCATTAGGCAGGTTGAGAACCACTGCATTAGAGCATATGCAAGAACCGGGACGAGAAATCCTTGGTAAGGAATGTCCCTGGTAATGTAATTAATAAAAGATGAAATGCTGGATTGGGCAAAAGCCACACAGCCGCAGCAGACCTCATGGGGAAGGAAGGGGATTCAGGAACTGAAGACCAGGACCATTGAGGGCAAAGACCAGGGCCAGGACCAGTGAGGGCTAGAAGCCAACGGGTGGGGTTTGGTCTTTCACTGCCTACCAGAATCTGCCTCTAATCGATCGAGGCACATCACTAGTAGCTACTGCTCCCAGTGAGTTAGGATGGCTAGAGAACCAGGCTCAGGGCCAGGCAGAGATTCCTATCTGCTCCACATTGTTCTTGGTGAGATACTGGGGCGTAAAACAGCGCAGACGTTGCCCTTGGTACTTGATCTTCTCTTCACTCCTGGTGGTCGGTGGTAGGTGAAACACCTTGTTGGCAGCACACTGAATTCTGGGAATGAGAAATCCTAGGGTCGGCACCTTCTTTAACAAATGGCAGACTCCCGAGTCTCCCCAGTGAAGAGCGGAAGGGCTGCCTGTTAAAGGAGAAAAGAACACATTCGGTCCCGTCTCAACAGTTTAATGTTCACCGCTTTGACCGCAACGTGGTTTTTGGTAGATAAAATTCATTCTAAACTTTAACATGATCTCGCAAAACAAGAAATTTGGCTGAGCACATCGATCACCAAACATCGACTGCATCTGACTGTAAAGCAACAGGGTATCAAATCAGAAAATCTATTGCACTTGGTGAAGAAAGTAACTTCCTCCTTCGTCTCCCAGCTCCAGAAGGCAATGGGTCTCATTGGCTGTGCAGGCTCTTCTCTCACGCCGCAGTCTCAGTTTCAGGCATAGTATATCCATCACCACGTTCTTCCAGGATTGGGAAGTCTGACAAAACACCATTCCAGTAGCTGCGTCTCCAGGCTTCGAGTCTAGAAATGAATTTTTCAGATGTGATCTAATCACAGTCAACAAATCGATGGTACTGACGTCCACATCTCATGACCTTGTTCATCACGAAAGAGCAGGATGGGGTCTCTCGGACCAGCACTGACACTGGGTGATCAATCGGGTATTACAGGGGTGCACGTTCTATGTGACAGGAGTATACAGACATGATGGAAACGAACACCACTCTTATTGCACATGGTGTCTGGACGAGCAATAAAAACACTGTGATGCAGGATGAAAGTCCATTACGTCTTGCTTCTTCGCAGCCCTTTTCTCTAGAGTCTGATGTAGCAGCGGTATCAATCGACGTACATGGGAGAGCTGGGAGTGGCTGGCATTTGATCCAAGATTTTACAAACATAGCATGCGACCTCTACGGTACGTTCTTCATACATCAAAATAAAGGTATGTTTCTGGAAGAAAGTGAAGAGAAAAATATACAAAATTAGTGCCAGAGCCCTCCTGGTACGTTTCCCCAATTTCAATACAGCCGTGAACTAAAGGCTCCCATCCACATGTGGCTGCTTTCTGAAAACAAGTCAGTGCCGAGAGGCAAGTGCAGCCATCATTTCATGCAACACTAGTGGACGGCGGGTGTGTCTAGATGCACAGTGTTACGACACAGAGGCACCTCTCTGGAAGCCACTGACCGACAGACCCAGGGAGACCTTGTGTGTCAGAGAGCAGTGTTCCTCATGGTACATAGCTGGAGCCTCTACCACCACCTGGGGGTTAAGAGGAACTCCATGAATGGCCACCCTGTTTCTCTCAGAGACAGGCATAAATCCTCCCTGTACCCTCATCTCAGGAGAGGGACTGTCTTTTTTCTTTTTTTTTTTAATCATTTTATTAGGGGCTCATACAACTCTTATCGCAATCCATACACACATCAATTGTGTAACGCGCATTTGTACATTCATTGCCCTCATCATTCTCAAAACATTTTCTCTCCACTTAATTCCCCAGCATTAGGTCCTCATTTTTCCCCTCCCTCCCCGCTCCCCCCTCCCTCGTGAGCCCTTGATAATTTATAAATTGTTATTTCGTCATATCTTGCCCAGTCCGACGTCTCCCTTCACCCACTTTTCTGTTGTCCGTCCCGAGGGGCTTTCTAAAAAGGTTTCCCAACAGAAGATACTCTCAGCTTCTGTCCTGTCCTGCCCTGTCCAGGCCTCTGCATCTACTTAACACACCTTTATTAAAGATTCCAAATCTAAACGTCGTCTTCTTTCCTAGTTTGCCAATGAGAGTTCCTCCTGGGTGTCTGTCTGTAAGAGTTCTTGCTGGGCTGATCACAGGCTACATCTAACTCCTGGGGGGGCTGGAAGCTAAATGTGACAGACAAGTAGGTCTTCTCTTAAAGCACCCCCACATCATAGGACCACTGTACGTTCTTCACTGCCCAGACCAATACCATTTCCAAAGGACTGCTTACAACAGCCACCAGCCAGGGGATGGAAGAAAAGTGTCCAAAAACATGGGACTAGCCATACCCTATAAATTCATGGGAAGGTTTTGAGGAAGACAAATTAAGCAGAATAAGTGAGTCTTTCACGATCTTTTTTGGATAGATGTGTTACACGTGCATGAATGAAGCTGTGGAAATGCTGTGTGCTTTCCAACAGATTCTGCTCCTACAGGCTGCAGTGAAATGGCACCAGGGTTTCCTATTCTGTAATCTCGACAGGAGCAGATCGCCTGGCTGTCCTGTCCTGTGGCACCACTGGGAGATTCAAACCACCTCCCTGCTCAATTAACAGCCCAGTGCTTAGCTATTGAGCCAACCACTCCCTAAAATATGTTGGAATTCTTTGACGTCACTTTTCTAACATGTCGAAGTCAAAATTTTCAACAAAAAATCCAGCCAGTAAATTAGTAGGGAACTTACTACTACAATTAAATCGCTCAAAATGTCTTTTAAAACATATACATCTTTTTTAACTTCTTATATTTGTAGGAAGTAATTTTTTAGCTTGGTTGGTTTTTTTACATCATCTTTTTCGAAATGTAATTTAAAACACAGGAAATTCAGCATTGTAGACTGTCTTAAGATCATAAACCTTCTATTCATTACAGTCGAGCTGTTTGGCGGTGACAGAGGGGCTGACTACTGGCTCAGTGAACTGGCATGCTAAGAAAATTTAAGGGTGATGAATCATCTAAAATTCCCAAGTCCCAGACTCACCAGAAGTTCCTTATACTTTGGCCTTTTGGATTCATCCTTTGTAAGGCTAAAATGTACAAAATTAAATTGTTAAAACCGAGATACATTTATCAAGTATTTTTCTTATAACAAAACATTGCACGGAATCAAGTACTTTCTCCCCCGTCAGATACATGATGACAAACAAAACAGACAACCTGACAAACAATAAGAGCACCTAAAATTTTAAACAATCTATAGTGTAAAAATGTATCCTCAGCTGACTTATTAAAGGATCAAAAGTTACAAATAAGTTCACTGTTAATGATTGACATTATGGCACAGCTGCACGGGAGAACACACAATAAACACACTAAGTGCACGTGCATGAGTGTGTGTGCACACGTGTAAGTCAGGTCCTGCTACTTGGGTTCCCATTCACACATGCATGGGTTTATTCTAAAAGAAAAAAAAAGTGTTTAAACATGTCTCTACAATAAGTGGAAAGCTGTAGACAGGTACTTTTAGTAATACCTTCATTTTAGTCCCCCTTAGGGTTATCTTCCCCCAAATTGGGCCCAATCAAAGCACTGGTTTTCTAAGGGGGTCTGCTGGGCAAGTTACATTCAGGGCAGAGAGGTCAGCTCAGAAGGTTACAGTAACCATTTCGGATTTTCAAGGAGTAATCTTTACAGATTTTTTTCAAGACACAGGACAATCACAAGAGCGTATTAGAAAGACGCTTTAAGAAACTTGAACTGTGTTGGTGACAAAACAGGCAAGAAAGTAGTACAGTACTGTGGAATTTCTTTCATAGCAACAATGTACCTGTTCATTCGTTCAGGGAGAATTACACTGGGAAATCTTACTACATCTGCCCTACAGACTGATCTTGCTCCTTCACACAAGTTTTTTGATCCTAAAACTAAAGGAGCATGACTTGAGTCTTTGTGACTCATCATTGTTATTATATACTATCTATCTAGATATTTATGTACCTGTATTTTCACAGACATCACCCAAGAAAACCAGGAATCCTGGGAGGGGAAATACGAATAAATTTTATCAATCTATCATTTGTTTCTTACAACATTTGTGCTTTATATTTCACTGTTGTGTTACCTGATACAAACTGCACAGAAGACTGTGTACATGTACCAATTGTATGTGTACCATTGATATGTACCAATACATATACAGTCTCGGCCCTACTGATATTCCTCCTTTCATCCTGCTTTAATTAATGTTGCTGGAAGTTCTTCAGCCCAACATGTAACCACGACACCACCAGGGCGCCTCAGGGGCAGCTTCTCGGCTATAACATATCAACAGGGGGCATTAAGAGCCACGCCTCTGTCCCAAAGCAGCTCCCCCTGAAGCGTCTCTCCCAGTGTCGGCTGCAGCCCTACATCTCCTACCTGGTCCGATTCCTTCCCTTCACTAGTTGATTAACATTAATGTGATCAACATTAATCTGGGTGGTCCAGATTAAAAATCATAGATAATGTCTATTATTGAGATATACAGGAAGAATAGACAGACGAGAAGTTCGGCAAGAATTAAAATGCAAAGACCTTGGCCATGAGGCAGGAGAGCTCATTTAGATTTACGCCCTGTGACGCACAGCGATCGATTTCACCACAACAGACCAGATGAAATGAACACATAGTGAAATCAATGACCTAAATGTGCATTAATAAGGCAGATTATTTTTTAATTGATTAAAAAGAGATTATTTTAGAATTGAGGAAATTTATGGCCTTCTAACTTAGAAAAATTTTGAGGTGGTCCTCTGTTTAAGAAAAACAGATTGTATGTATGTTCTGAATGTAGCTAAAGATGATGGAAGGAGCATGAAGTGGAGTTAAGCAAACATTAGACGTTATCCCAAAAGACGACGCATGAAGCCTGCAATGAGCTGCATGAAAGAGCACTGCTAGTGAGGAAGAGAAGAACAAAAGAAAACAGTTCAAGGACCAATAAGAAGAGTCACTAACTACTCATCAAGATACATTAGTCTTAGACATTTTAAGCAAAATTTTATCCAAAAAATCCTAATAATTACTTAACAACGTTGTATTGAAAATGTAGAGTGAAAGAATATACGGCATGATGACTCTGTAGCACTCTATGGCATGATGACTCTGTAGCACTCTACCTGCATATCGTCATTCCTGTGTCACACACACACACACACACAGAGTAAAAAGTTGGGAAAGAAGAATCTATAGGGCTCGCACCTCATCTGGAATAAGGTTTCCGAGAATCAATACACACGAATACTTCCGTCAACAGAACCGGAGGCTTGTCTCGCCTACGTACGTCCAACTACATTGTGTTCTGTGCCAGCAGTGACCGCGCCTCCGAGCCTCTGGTCCGGCGGCGGCAGCGCTTCCACTCGGGGACAAGCTCACTCGTGAGAAGCACGTCAGAGTAAGGCGCGCACTCTCACTGTAAGTCTCACCCGGCACTTCTGGTTCACGTACTCACACCCGGAGGCAGCCGTGATGCCCCAACCACTCTTGCTTTCCACGAACCCCCGAGCAGTAAAACAAGCACACGACCCTTCTCGAGATGACCTGGAGCGCTCCAGGAATCCAGAGTCCCAGCTCAGAAGTAAGGCTGGCCTAACACAGTCTCGCTCCCCAGTGTAAAATAACTGTGCTAAGAACAGGAGACATCCGTGGTTTCAGCACATGCAGTCAGGGAGGCACACACTCCGTACTCACCACAGGTTGACAAAGTTGATGAAACTCGGGGAGAATTCCCTCTCCTCAGAATTGCTCAGCTGTGGCGGGTCTCCTTTCACGACTTGTGTCAGTTGGTCAAACACACTATTCCACTTTGGATAAGGAAATCGGCCGGTGGCCAACTCATACTAAGAACAGAGAGGAAGAAGAAGAAAAATACACCAGGCATTACATACTGCAATGGCCAAATTGAAAACCTGGATGCTCAAGCAACTCTTGTTAGAGCAGAATCTCCAGCATTATCAAAGCTAAGGTAAGACCATATTTAGAAATCAACACAGCAAAAAGAACTCTGTTTCAGCCAACTTCAACATCCTGGGCTGACAGGAAAAAAAAAACGAAACCCAAAGCCCAACGGCAAAAGGAAAGCCCCAAGCAAAGCCCCGGCTCTGAGTGCACCGTGTAAGACATGCTGGAAGGGGGTTTTAGACGGTTTTCAGCCCAGAGCTTGCTCAATTTGTAGCCACCTGAATAGAGGCTACAGTCCAGAAGAGTGGTCAAATAATATTCAACACACAAAAGCCCAATCTGAGCTGAGAAGAACCACCATCAAATCACGTTCTGTGGCTAGTCCATAGCTATTGCTATGCCAAGCACAGCCAGAGGTTACTATTGGCAAGGAAACCAGGGCAGGGTCAAACACATCATTCTGAGGCCCAACAATGATGCTCAGGACAGTGTCTGCAAGCCACACTGAACCAGCAGTGAAAAGCCTTAGGTGCGTACATCTACACGAATATCTGCCTCCCATGTGTCTGAAAACAGTGAAATGTCAGAAATTCTGCACTTAGAAGTGCATCTGCCTCTGCAGACTGGCCTAAACGAATCCCATTTTTAAGTGCATGGACAGGTGACTCATGTATGAGGATGAGAACCCAAACAATTAAGAGGACAAAGGCCTACGGAAGAGGGTACCATCCGAACAGACCGACTCGGAATTTCCCTCAGCTTACGTTTAATTGTGTATATTTTAGTAAGTAACAAATTACTAATTTACATGGTAGAATGAAGGTCACTAAGCAAAGGTTAAGGAAACTCTGACATAGAAGGTAGGTCTGGGAAGACCTTCTCCCAAAAGGATGCCTCCCGATCAACATACTGCTGTCCCAAATTGCACACATGTGCAGGCAGGCAGGCATGTGTGCATGTGCGTGCAAGTGTGACTAAAGACACGGAACTTCATTCCTCTGACTCGAGTTTAAAGCACCAATGACGCAGGAGGATGTAACTTCACAACATCAGGGATAGCTTATGGGTTATTCACGGCACTGGGGAACTTCACAAGATTCATTCTTGAAAACAGGTTTTCCATAAAACATGGGGGGAAAGGCTGTGAGTCATAAGAGGAAGGAATTGGGAGCTCAGAAATTAGTTTCACATACTTCATAGTTTCTATAAAATTATGCTCATGAAAAATAAATTACAAAGCAAATGCTAAATATCAGAAACCTTTTAAAGTTACTAGATTTAGCTAAATGAAGACCTTGCTAAACAATTTCTAGGTTAAAACTTTTCAGGGAACAAACTTTGTTGTGCTCTTTAAACATTAACTGGTTTGGTCCTTGCTAAATCATCCTGGAGGATAGTCCATATCCCTTATAGGCAAAGAGCTGCCTCCGCTGGAGCTATAGGTCTTGCTGCGGCGTGGGGGACCAGCTGCCCGAGCTAAGATTCCCAAGGGTCACATTCCTTCCTCTCACCACTTTACGTCTATCTGATCTTCTGCCACTGGGGTCGTAAGAATCTGCTCGCAGAACTTGGGATTCCACATGGGAGATTAGCCGTCACTGAGATGAGGTGAATTTAGAACTCAGATAAAAGAAATAATCACGAAAATTGATGAGCTATGCCTACACTATTGGTAATGCTACGATTCATAGTAACAGAATGGCGCGTGGGCTCTCCAGAGAACTCGTGACTTCTACCTTTTTTGGAGGGGGGGAAGCTACTGAATTTTAAGTTTCAAACAACTAAATAAGTCAGATATTTGTGGTATGATATGGTCACTTGTGAATTAGAAGGAGTCTGCAGGCAGTATTCATGGGAATTCAAGTGTATTCAGAAAGAATCTTGTAGTCAAGTGAGAAACACGGCATACGTCACCACCCTCTTGGATTCATGACACAAGCAAGCATACCAGTGTCTCTACACATCCACAGTAAGGAAACAGGCTTCACACTAACTCAGAATTTTCGAAACTCCTTAACTATGAAATACTTCTGTATATACCTACTAATAACTTACTCGCTTAGGAGTACTGCCAGCTTGAAAACATCTGAGGAAATAATAAAGACACATAAATTGGGGATGGGGACTTAGAATTTGCGCCTAAAGAGGGTATTTGAGGTAATTAATAACCAAAATAGGGCTTTCAAAGCAATGTTTAAAAAAACATAAATGAAATTACACCCACAGACACACGCACAAATCATGAATTTTAAAATGAAGCAGAGACAAACAAAACATAGTACCGACATAGAATTCCTACTACTGTAAAGTCTTTTAATTTCAGAATATGTTTGCATTTTGAGACTTACTGCAAAGCTATATGTAATGCTACACCTCTGCGCAACAAGTCTCACTCCCTGCCCACGAGTCCATTCCAACTCAGAGCATCCTAGAGGACAGGGTAAAACTGCCCTGTGGGACTCTGACACTGAAACGCTTCACAGCAGGTGGACAGGCCATCTTTTTCCTGCTGTAAAGCAGCGCCACATGTAACACACTCTGCCACCAGGGCTCCTCCGTGGCTATCGTAGACATTCAGACGTTCTGACTTCAATATTAAATATAAGAGGGCACACTTATCTGGTATAGAGCTCTAACTCCGGGAGGAGATGATAACTTGTTTGTGTTGGGGTTTTTTTCCATTTAAGAGATATCTAGTTTACACTTAAAATATAAAAGCAGAAAGCAAAAGGCATAAATGTAAGTAATGTACACCAAAAAAAATCCAAGTCCACTGTCATTAAGTTGACTCCAACTCATGACGACCTTATACAGGGATTTCAAGACTGTGAATCTTTACAGGAGCAGACAGCCTCAACAGCCCTTAGAGATAGCCAGAGGCTCCTAAACCAGTGGTTCCCAACCTTCCTAATGCCGCGACCCTTTAATACAGTTCCTCATGTTGCGGTGACCCCCGAACCATAAAATTATTTTCGTTGCTACTTCATAACTGTAATTTTGCTACTGTTATGAAACGGACAACCCCTGTGAAAGGGTCGTTCGACCCTCAAAGGGGTCGCGACCCACAGGTTGAGAACGCCTCCTCTACATGATGGTGGCACAGAAGACAACTAGTTGCACAATCCAACTTGCAATTGCTGTTGGTGGGCCAGGCACCATCTGAGCCACAGGGGATTTAATCAGAGCAGCAGCAACAAAACTTAATGCCAGCGACCCCTTTGTCTTTAGAGTTGGTTGGCGTCGCAGGGAGAAAAGGTCCCAGCAAATCGCACGACGCCTTACTGTTCAGAAGGGAGCCAGGTGAAGTCTCTGTGCAGAAGTGAGGGCTACATTTCAATTCTCGGTACAGAAAAGAATTCCTTAGGGGCAGCAACATGGCTTATCAAGGATAGCCCCAGATGATGAAATAAAAAAGAAGGTATGCCACTCTGAACTCCAAGAAGAGGAATATTAAACCATAGAAAGCCAATAAAAAAAGGAGGTTAGTGAACAAGGTACAACAAACTACTGGTTTGGGGCTTGTATATTTCCATGTCATGGAGCCTTAAACAGTACAGAGGAGAAGGGCAGAGACGGAATAGGTTTGGACTGCCTACGACCAAGAGAACCCCATATAGGGATGAAACACCCCCACACCAAGACAGAAAAGGAGCCATAGATGCTGCCCCAGAACTAGGAAAACCTTATCAAGCCTGATAGAGAACATAAATTAATCCTTCTGTACAGAACTTGGTAAATCTGGTTTTTTTTAAAAAAGGCAAATAAAGATAACTTTTTAAGTGATACCAAAATTTTAGTACCGTCCACAGGTGAGTAAGAAGAGTTTAATTGTGCTTGCTAGCTACAGAAAAGTAGCTGTCCTATTACCTCTCAATTCTGTTGCTCCAAAACTAACCCCTAGGTATTGTCTCATCCCGTAATAGAGAAATTATTTTCAGTTCATGCATCTGTGGCTTTTCTGCAAATAGAAAATTACAGTAGAAAGCATTTTCCATGTGTAAAGACATATATGTAGTGTGCACACTCTGTGCAGTGTTTTCCACAAACTGGGACACCCCCATGAGCGCTCTCTGCTGCCCTGGCTGAAGGTGGGCTGATGATCCTCTTTCCCCTTCTTAGTCTACCTGCTGGCTCCCTTAAACGATAGCTAAAGAACCTCAATGCACTTCACAAAACCTTGGGGCAAATGCTCAACTTTGATTTGGCTTTTCCAGTTAAAAAATAATACTCCGCCCTCTACCCAACAATTAGTCCATAGTCCACAATATCATCAGCATGAGGGAAAAGAGGTAAAAAGTAAGACTGGAACAGGGAATGAGAGAGTTCTGAGGAGGCGTGAATGCCTGATTAAGTTTTATTTCCTTTCCAATGTCTTATCAGCACATGCCTATGACAAGGTGGAGTCAATATAAACATACCAATGTGATCCCCAAACTCCAGACATCAGAGCGGACATCATATCCTTGTCGTGATGCACTTGGGTCTATTCTTTCAGGCTGTAACACAAAGAAAAGCCAGGGTCATTAACTGTGCTGAGCCCAAGAAGCAGACCAACACAAGCTACAGTTGACGCAGATAGCCTACAGGAGTCCATGCCTACGATTAGAATGAGAGTTATGGAAAGCCACCATTACACAGGCATATAATACTCAGAGATATTGTGGATTCTGTTCCAGAACACAGTGTTGAGATTAGTCTTCCGTTACTGGGTGGAGAAAAAACTGGGGCCTAATTCATAAGTACAGGTATAAAACAAGTTTAGTAGCCTAAATATACATAAAACAAATAAAAAGAAGAACTGACTGCCATCAAGTTGATGCTGACTCATAGCAACCCTATAGAACAGGGTAGATCTGCCTTTGAGCTTCTGAGACTATTAACTATTAAGCCTCGTCTTTCTCCCTCAGAGTAGCTAGTGGTTTAGAAAGGCTGGCCTTGAGGTTAGCAGTCCAGTGTGTAACCACCACTCCACCAGGGCTCCATTTCTTATTTTCCAACTGAAACCCTAATGTAGACAGGCATATATCATCTTATAATAGTTTTATAGCACCATGTTTTTTTCAGTTGCCTCAGATGCATAAGAAAGCTGGGCAATTAAATATACACAAATTGATACTTTCAAATTGTGGTGTTGGTGGAAGAACCTTAAATATACAGTACGATGCCAAAGAGAATCAACAAATCAATCTTAGAAGAAATACATATGGCCAATAGATTTTTGATAAAGGTGTCAATACATGAGATTCAATACATGAGATTATAGAGAGGAAAAACCTATTCAATGTAAGAATCAGCTAAATGAGAGAGTTAAGTCTATGTGGGTAGGGAAAAGAAGAAACACCGACCGGGATCCGAGCCAGGTCAACATACCCAACATCGTTTCTCCTTCCAGGAGGGAACTAGCAATAACTAGAGATATCTTAATTCCACTCAGGACTACTATTAGATCTAATGGGATGCTGCTCGATATCCTATAATGTACATGGGCAGTCTTGTGAACCAAAATATCAAGAGTGCTGAGAGAGAAACTCTGCCCCTATTTAAATAAAGAGTTTCAGAGAAAGGAAAAACGTCACCACTTTGCCCACCAATCTTCACATGAACAAAGCAAATTGCAGTGCGGTTTCTTATGTAAAATGAAGGAAACGGAGCCTCTTTGACAGGCCGACACTCCAGTGGAGAGTGGTACTAAAGCAAATGTATGCAAGTACAAAATGGACTTTTGTTTTTACCTCTGCTCCAACCTTGTTGAAACGCTGTAAAGCAGACAGGCAAGAGCCAAGTTGTAGAAAGAGTGACTTTATGAGATCATGCTAAAAGAATTAAGTCAAGCAGCCTGAATAACCAAAGATTAATGGGATTAGGTCTTTTGATTAGCTAAATCATGATCATCAAAATGGACAAACCTGGAGAATGCTCAAAGAGGCATGGCGGTCACATTTTTCACTGACAAACATACAACACTTCAAGCAAGAGCATTAATTGGGGGAACCACACACCTGAGAGAAGTGGTGGAGGTTAATTACAGCAAAGTGAGCTGAATTACTAATGGAAAGGACAGGAGTTTAGGATTGTAGACCTGGAAAGAGATAGAGCATGTTCCTATCCTCAGAAGGGAAAAACATGTAGAGAAAAAGTGTGTCTTTCTACAAAGCACGTGTTAATCTCCTCATGCTAAACATTCTACTGAGTGGATCACAGATGTTCCCAGTTAGGCAATTCTTGGATCAAGATGTTTTGCATATAAAAGTTTAGATACAGTATGTATCTATAAATGTTGTGTAACCAATACATAATAAGCAGCAGCAATGGATGTAAACGAGAATTTTTTTTTTAAGAAAATTTAAAAGAGAAATTCCCTGTTCCTAGTCTTTGAGCTTTAAATTTTTTAGAAAGAGGTCAAGTAAAAAGATCTAATGCAGCGGTTCTCAACCGGAGGGTCATGAACCCGTTGAGGGGGGCCGAACAACCCTTTCACAGGGGCCGCCCGATTCATAACAGTAGCAAAATGACAGTTATGAATTGGCAACGAAAATACTTTTATGGTTGGGGGCCGGGGGGATCACCACAACATGAAGAACTGTATTAAAGGGTCGCAGCATTAGGAAGGTTGAGAACTACTGGTCTAATGAGAGGGAGAAATTCAATTAACTAATGCATTAAACCCACAAAGTTCTTCTTGAATACACCCTGGACATTTAAAAAGAAAAAATAATGCTTCTGTATTTATCACTCACCTAATAGATGTGGCCTGAAAAAAAAACCCACTCACATTTAAACACCAGAGAGAGCTCTCACATAGAAAACTAGAAAGAAGTGGAGGGGCAGGGGAAGACCTTGTGATCCTTCTTTCAAAAAACCCATCACACAAAAAATTAACAGGAACTTTTTAGGGATTTTCGTTGAATGGATGAATAGATGTAACGTATCGAGAACAGAGAGGGCTGTCTACTCTAAAAGTTCCTAAAGCAGCAAGTTTTTTATTAGCTATTAGGTACCGTATATACTCGAGTGTAAGCCGAACCGACTATCAGCCAAGGCACCTAATTTTAACGCAAAAACTCAGCTTATACACAAGTATATACGGTAAATGCCTCTCAATAATTAGAAAATCTCACTAAACATAACTGTGGAATCAAGTAATGTCATAAATAAATACAATTAGGAATGCAGATCAGAAGTTGCTGTGAGATGAAACATGATCATCTCTTGATAAACAAAGCGACTTTTTAAAAATCCCAACTTTCTAACCTGCTCCACCAGGTTGTCAGTCTTTGCAGTTACAGAAGAGTCTCCTAACGCTATTCAAAACACAAACACACTCAAACATGCATGCAAGCATGAACACACGGGTGGGAAAAAGGTTTAGATGGGAAAAAACATGTCTAGTATCATATTTCAAATATTAATGAAACCTAATGTAGGGGGCGGGAATCTTAGTCCATTAAACTACCTGTTTAGCTCTCTGATCCTAGAGTTTACAATCTGTAAGGGACTGAAAGTGCTGCTTTAGGTACTGGACGAAAATAAATATACATATATACCATTGTCGTTCTTTTTGAATGCAGACTGCAAGGAACTCTGGAAGAGGAAAATGTGTGACCAAAAAAAATCTGTCTCTGCTTGCAAAAATCCGAAAATTCCAAGGATATAACTCAGTAACGAGCTGTTTGTTCATGGGCTTCAATTCACTGGGAGATCTTCAGGAGTCCTGGTGGTGTCCTGCTTACACAGCGGGCTGCTAACGCAAGGTCACCGGTTGGAAACCACCAGTTATACTGATGGTGAAAGACGGGACTTTCTCTTCCAGTAAAAAGTTACTGTCTCAGAAACGCACAGGCAGTTCTACCTATAGGGTTGTTATTAGTCAGCATCGGTTAAACAGCGGAGTTTGGTTTAGTTTGGGAAGGTTTTTTTTTTTTTTAACATCTTAAGCGATAGCTGGATTTCATTCAACACAGTCAGAACCCAAATACTCTACATCCTTCCCCAACAAGGTGACTCCATGTTCCCAGGTCTACGATCTAAAGGGAGTGCTTTCGAGTAGCCTTCTTCACCACTGCAGGTGGAGTCTTGGAAGTCAAGGCCAAAGCTCGGGATACCCTATGTGGATGGAAAAGGACCAACATTAACAGAAGAGCGGAGAGAACAAGCAACTGGCCGTTGTCTCTCTACTGCCTGTAATATTGCAGGTCACTCCCCCTCTTGCAGCATGTTGATCAGGATCAAGATTACTATGGTATGCCAAAAATTAATTTTATACCTCTATTACTTGTACTTGATTTGAAAAACTGAATGTTGACCATGATGCCCAGCTAGTAAACGCAGCAGATCCAGGGCACTTGGGTATCGATGTCTCAAAGACTACAAGGCTTTGGAAAGAAAGGGCGTACCATATATACTCGAGTATAAGCCGAGTTTTCCAGCATTTTATGCAGTTTTGTGGTAAAATTATATGCTATGGCTTATATTTGGGCTTATATTTGGGCCGACTTATTTCGAGTATATATGGTATAAGCCCAGTAAGCTGTCACTTATGGTACAAGGGTGCAGACATTACCTGAACTGAAGAAAATTCTGAAATTTTCACACTTTTCTACTTTTTGATGCCATGCCTCTTCACCTATGTACTAAAACCACCGATAACCTTATGGCTATTCCAAAAAGCTTAGTATGCCACCATTTCCACACAGCACACGAAGATCTTTACAATCTAGTTGGTAGGTTGGCTAATATGCGAATTTAGGCTGACTAAAGTGAATGAACAATGGCTAAGGGTAACAACCCATTAAGGTCCCAAGTTCACCTCCTACCCACCTTGGCACCCATCAAAATCAACTTTGATAGTGATACCACTGCTATCTTTAATGTGGCTACAACAGTTAAAAAAAAAACACCAAATATTAAAACTAAAGGTACAACAGAATAGAACAGGTTGCAATTGACAGGGGGAAAAAAGGCTTTGAGCATAAGCAATATGAAGAACGTGACCCAAAAAGCGGAGAAGTGCAAAGCTATTGAAGAGACAAAGAGAGACAAGGTGTCTTCCAAAACTTCCCTCCTGGCTTATGCAATCAACATAAAGGTCACAGTAGAAAATGAGAAATTTCACAGCAAGATTATGAAGACAAATAGCACATTCTTAAGAATAGTAAAATCAATAAATAAATTGACACAAAGGGTCGTGCTGTGAGCATAAAGAAGAAGGGCTGGGAAAGGTCTGATTTATGATCAAGAAGCCGTACAGAGAGGGGACAGGACGCACAGTAAACGGCAGAGGATCTCCTCTATCGGTGGGCGCAACACTTAAACCCTCAATGAAGACACTTACCAAGCAAGTCAAAGAATATAGCAAAGCATCTTCCCCACACTCAAAAATTCTATAACTCAATGTCACAGTAGCATTTATTTTTTGATCCTAAATGAAATACTAAGTAATTTCTTTCACACACAGGGGACGAAGCGAAAAACGCTTTTTCAGTATTGAAAATGAAAATGATGTCCTAATTTAAAACCTCCTCTGAAATCGAAGTGACAGGAAGGGACTATAAACAAAGTCAGGACTAACAAGGGTGCTGAACAAGGTTAAGTAACCATCTCATGAGACAGAACTTGAAACCAGACCCAGTCACCGAGTCGGTTCCGACGCTATAGAGGGTTCCGAGGCTTAAATCTTTGAAGGAGCAGAGAGCCTCACCTTCTCCCTTGGAGCAGCTGGCTCGTGGATTTCAACTGCTGGTGCTGCAGTCAGCAGTCCAGTGCTTACCTGGCAGTGCCAGCAAGGCTCCATTCACATGTAAGAGGGCCTATTTATCGGAAGAGAAGATTATGGCCAGGGCTCAAGGAATAACCCCAAATAAATAAATTGGCCTATTTCCAATGGGCCTCTTAACTACTCATATGGTTGGGCTCCTGCAATTCAGAGCAAAGATGTAAATAAGGAAATACTGCAGAGAGAGCGGGAAACTGACATGGCTTTTTAGTGGTCTCCTTATATTGCCGTGTAGCTGAAGGGCCAAAGGGTAAGAGATGAAACCCTTAGGTTCCATGATCTCATTTTAATCAACTACTTATTTTTCTTCTTAGCAAAAGGCAAGTTTGAGAAAATAAATTTCTATATTGTAAGTTTCCACTGTTAAAAAATATACTCATATTATAAAGAGTGAAATAATCAAAATGATATACTTTATAATACAATACAATGTGAAATGGATATCGTCTATGAAATAGTCATGCCAAAAATCATTTCATCTGAGAAAATAAACAACCAGACAAATCTAGAATGTGGGACAGTCTAAAAACCCCCTTCACAAATCATTATCTTAGAACACAAAAATGCAAATGGTCTAGATCCATTAGGATTACAGTAAGGAATGAAATAGCTATAAGCACTGTGCAATCTTGATGGGGTCTTAGACTGACAGCTGAAATATAGACACTTTAGGAGCAGCTGGGGAATCTGTGTATGAACTACATATTAAATAATACTGTGGAATTCTTGTCAGCTATTGAGGTGCAACCATGATACTGTGGTTACACCACGTCATACAAAGAGGGGTGGTGTGCGCCCGATGAAGTATTTACGATGAAATTCCTGACGTCTGCAACTTATTCTCAAACGTTCAACAAACACAAAAAGCACAAACAAGCATGCTGACGGCTGCCAAGGAAGAGTGGCAAAATGTTAACAATTGGTGCATGGAAAATTACATGTTTAAATTCGACATTCTATACAAATGTTTTATGTAAAAGATAAGTCATCACAATTCCTGTAGACTGAGGAGAAACTGAATGTTAAAAATCAAAGGCGCAAAACATTTCTTGATCTCAGAACGCTGCTACATTCACAGATCAAAAACCTATCCAGGGCCATCAAGTGATTACAACTCACAGTGACCCTGTAGGACACAGTCAACTGCCCCACACTTCTTTCCAAGACTGTAAATCTTTACAGAAGCGGCCTGCTATAGCTTCTCTTGCAGA